TTTGTTGTGTACGGTGAAGATCGAGTTTCGACACCGTTGATTTTGGGGGTTTCATCTCATTTATTCTTCAAAATTTAAGGTAGGAATTTTCTTAGAGTTATATATATATTTTTGCAAGATCTATATGATTTTTGAAATCATCTTTCGATAGCTTTGAAAATTGATTGTTGATTCAAGAAGTTGAGTAATTTTGAAAGTGGGTTTGTCTCTTGTTCTTTTAAAATGATCTTATGGGTTTTGATCTTCGTTGATTGAAGAAAATATGATTTTGGAAAGTTTTCTTTCAAAGGATTTGAGCTGTATAGTTTTGGTGAGAAAACCTAGAATTTGGATGTTTAGAAAATTTCTTATTTATATTTATATAAATGATGAATTTCAGGGAATATGAGAATTGTTGTTCATTTTGGAAATTATTGTTCAAAACGTTAAAATAATCTTGAAATAACTAATTATTGATGATACTTGAGAAGAGGGAATTGTATTATTCCTTGGATGATGAATTGGAATAAAAGTATTTATATTTATCTTGTGTTATTGGCATAACAATTTATTTGATTACATTAAACTTTGAAAGTTGATTTGAAAACTTACATTGAGAAAAGAATGTTGATAAACAAGTTTTCATGAAATGGTTTTGGGGTAAATACGTTGGTAAGTCTTGATAGGTAGTGTAGATGATATTGAATAAGTTGGCCTGAGAGTCCGGGGTGAAAGACCGAAAACCCACGCGGATAGGTGTCGAGTCTTCCGGTTAATACCGGTAAAAATAACAATTTGGTAGTACTTGTATAGTCTACTTGCAGACACCGACCCAAGGATTACCAAAGTCGTATTTACCGCCTTTGAAATAAATTGTTAAGTTTTAAACAATTGAAATTGCATGACATCATTGAGCATGATGGTTTTCAAAAGATGAAAATGTGATTTATTTTCAAAAATGGGCATAGCATGGCATGTGCATTTCATCTCTTGAGACTTATATAAAATGTATATAATTTATTAAGGATTTCCTACTAGGTTTTATGCTCACCCTACAGGATTTTTGCGTAGGAAAAGATATGGTGATGCCGCCTAACTAAAGGCGAGGAAATGTGTGTTGAAAGTACGAGACTCTCATTTTATTGTGACTATATGTGTAAGCCAAGGGCTGTATATGTATAGGTTTGAATAACCGTTTTGTGTAACCAGGCTCAAGCCTTGGAAACTTGTAAACCCTTTAGGGTATTTATTTGTTTATTTACTTGTTGTTGGATTAATGTATTGTTGCATGAAGAACTATTGTATCATGTAATGTAAGTTTAGAGATTTATATTCAATTTTCCTTGAAAGAGTCATGATTGTTGTATTATCATTTGGGTTAGAAATTTGAAGCGTTACATACAAGATCGTCACATTTAAATACATGAAGCAAGGGTGCGTAAAAAAGAAAAAGGCAAAAGAGAGAAAGAAAAAAAGAAAAACAAAGGCATGAAGACTTTTAGAAGATTGGCTTCATGAAAAATCAAGAGGCTTTCAATGAAAATACAATGGCACATTTTTTGTTCTTGTTTTCTTCTGTTTGTGAGTAACACAATAACAAATAATGATGTTGATGACAATGGTGAGTTTTGGTGGAGTGGATTGGAATTTTAGAGTGAGGAGAATATAAAATAATTGAAACTTGGGGATGAAGAAGAATACATATATAAGTGATTTGGGTGTACTATGAGAAAAAATATATATTTATTTTAGGATATAATGTGTATTGTCCTTATTAATAAATTTATATTAGGATATAATAGGAATTAAAATTTTAAAAGATAGCTGCTATTTTCGTTGAACCCTCAATTTCTTTGAACCTCCACCCTTAATCCTAAATTTTAATAAGATTTATTTGAGCAATCCACTTAATACAAATTTTACCCATATTCATAATATCATCACCTAAGTACACATCCAACTAATTTTGCACACCCTCTACTTTTCTTCTCTCAGTATACGATGAACGATTGAAAGACAAATTAATTGTCCCTCTCTTCTCATTCTCTCATAAAATGATGATCTCTTTCTCGTTGTCACCGTAAACGATAGGGGTGTCCGCGGTTCAGTTTGGGACGGTTTGCGGTTCGGTTTGGACCCGCCTGCATGTATGCGGTTTGAGGAAAAGTCAACCCGCAACCGCCAGCAATGCGGTTTGCGGTTTGTGCGGATAGGGTTTGCGGTTGTGCGGGCGGTTGCGGGTGGTTTGCGGATTGAACTTTTTTTCAAATTTTTTTTGTTAAACCCTTTTTTTTCCCCATTTTTTATCAATATTTCTTTTAGACCTTTTTCCTCCCATTTTCTAAAATGCTCTAACATTAATAATTAATGAATTAAAACTTACAAAAAAATTATAAAATAAAAAACACAACAAAATCAATTCGTAACCTAAACAAATCATTCAAAATCTACCTTCATCATTAACTTGCATTCATCTTAATTCATAATCTAAACAAATCATTCAAAATCTACATTCATCATTAACTTGCATTCATCCTACATTCATCATTCCTAACCCAAATTAAAAAATCCTACATTCATCATTCCTAACCCAAATACAAAAAATAAATAAATAAATAATTCTTCATTAACTTACATTCATCCAAAATGCAAAAAATAAATAAATAAATAAAAATTCATTAAGTACATTCATCCAAAACCAAAATGCAATTAAAAAAAAATTGTTACCAAACTTCATTCGATTCAAGCCCATGAAATAAAATAAAAACATTTCTAAGATATCAAACTTCATCATGAATCATCCAATCCAACTTTCAGAGAAGATAGAGTGAGTGAGTTAGATTAGGGGTTTTTTTTTTTTTTGAACGATCAGATTTGAAGGGGAAAAAAATGGGTTTTTTTTTAACGGTCAGATTTTTTTTTTTTTAAAAAAAAAAGTTTTATGCGGGCGGGTGCAGGTCAAACCCGCAACCCGCCCGCAACCCGAAAATTATATAAAATCCAAACCGCACCCTACCCTAATGTGTTTGCGAAACCGTCCATACATGCGCGGTTCGGATCAGGTATGGCGGTTTGGGCAGGTCGGATGACCCTATGCCCAGCCCTAGTGAACGACAGTATCTCAGTCAGAAATCTCTTCAATGGTTTCTTTCTTCTTCTCTCAAGTAGCCTCCAACTCTCCATCACATGTTTTTTCTTTCTTTTTTTTTGTTTATTTCGAGGTAAAACCCTCGATACATGGGGTTTTAGAGGGAAAAACCCACAGAAAAAACAGAAATAAGGGAAAAATCCTACAAAATGGAACCATTCGTTTATGTTCAGCATTGTATTATTGAACTAAATGTTTATATTCAGCACTGTATTATTGAATAGAACCTTAACAATCGGCAAACCAGTACCAAACCGAAAACGACCCAAAATTGTAAATGCAAAATAGATAAACTTACCAATGCAATGTCAACCTTATTAAAGTTGTCGTCATCGTCCTCCATTGTTCTATAAGTATCAACGAATGGTAAAAACAACTACAAATGTAGAAAACTCGGAGTCTGTCATAGGATTTTTTGCAATGTTAATTGATTTGAAACATCGAACACATTTGAAGCTACCGAACAAAACATTAACTGATTAAGTAGTTTTAAATATTTTTCATGGAAGATGAATACGAGTTTAGGATGGTGATGAAGAAGAAAACGGTTAGGATTTAAGTTGATAAGGAATACGTATAGATGGGGATGGAGATGGGTGTATAATATTATAGTGTCATTTTAATTATTTTCATTTGGTGGGTGGGTATTCCATTACAAGTTGTCTTTTAATGTATTTTTACTCTAGGGTATAATTGTAATAAAAAAATGTGAGAATTGAGGGGTTCAAAAAAATTAGGTAAATGTTAATAATAGTACTCTTTTAAAAAATTTAGTTGAATGTACTAAATTATTATTTGGGTGCAAATAAAATCACCCCCAAACTTTATATTTGTTGAACAGGTCGCCACTAGGCTACATTAGGCACAATCACGTAATAAAAATAAAATAAAAGATAAATTTAAAAATCCCTCAAACAAATTTTATAATATGAAAGTTACATTCCACCAATTTTTAATGGCTAAAGTCATTTATTTCATGAAGTTTTTGCCGCTCTTTATATTTTCAAAAAACCCCAATAATAAATTTGTTGTTTGGGAATTTTCTTAATTATTTTGGGCATTTTCTTAATTATGTGCCACCAACAATATGTTGAAATCTCTCTGTAAAAATATCGAGGGATCTCAATTACTATGAAAATGTTGCATTTTTTTTTAATCTTATAAATCTTAATAGCAGGGATTATAAACTAAAAATCCCATTTAAATATTACATTAAAAAAAATCATTTTGAAGCCTTTCAATTTAAAAAAAATAATAACGCATCATATACACATTTATTTTAAGCCATTAGATTTTTACAAATGAATCTCAGCCACTGAATAATTTGATTAGGATTATTGGCAACCCCTTCAACCGGTTACTTTTTTTTTTCAAATTTTTTCAGTTTTTTTCCCAAACCCCTCTGTTTTTGAGACAGCACGCAGACCCTCCTCTTCGCCCTCGAAGACCATCCCTCGAAGGCCATCCCTGCGAAGACGACCCACCCTCGACTTCGCCTGAAGGTATGTCTCTCTCTCTCTCTCTCTGCAACTTTTTTCTCTCCCCCGTTCTCCATGTCCATTGTATGAAACCCTAGACCGCAATCCCTTTCTTTGAAACTGTGAGTTCACGTTTGTGAACTCATTGGGTTTGTTTATAAAAATAGGAAAATATATTTGGTCTAATGTTGGTTTTTTTGTCTTGGGTAGTCTAAGTCTCGACTAATCCCATTGAGTATATTTGATTTAATGTTGTTATGACAAATTCCAAAACCCTTGTGTAAAATTTTGATTGCACTGAAAAATTATATAAAGTAAAGTTGGAGGAAAATTAGGGCCATACCTGGAGATAGAATTGATTTGAGAATATTGAGTCTTTTAAACAGATTGAATCTTCATATGTAATCAATTTCAATTTTGGGGACATGAGCAATCTTGGGCCAATCCTCTCCTATTCCCTTCTCACATCTTCTACTCAATTGTTTGCACCCCTTGATGCTCAGACAGTGTAGTTCAGTGAGATGTTGCATCTCCTTTGGTAGAGATAGCAAATTAGGGCAATTATAAATTTCAAGTCCTTGAAGTGATGTAAGACATGGGAGGACGAACTCTGATACCGTTGTCAAGTTCTCACAACTTCGAAGTTTGAGCTGATTGAGCGTGTCAGCAGCATCTTGAAGTCCCTTGGGCAAACTCACCAACCGCAGCAGATCAACCAATGTTAGTGATTTAAGTCTTCTCAGCCCCTGCAAATCATTATCCTCTGAGAATTTGAGAGCAAAACAATAGCTAATCTTCAGATGCTCAAGGGCAGGGAGGTATCTCATGCCAAGTGGCAATGAAGTTAGCATTGGAGATAGTTTAATTTCCAACTTTCGGAGGCAAGTGAGTTTTCCTATCCCTTCACCTAAACCAGTCAGTTCAAAACTATCATATAGCTGTAATTCCTGGAGAGAAGTCAACCCACCAATCTGTTTCTCAGGCAAACATGACAGCATTGATGATAAACCCAAAAAACGTAGGTTAATTAGTTTCCCAAAATCTTCAGGCAATTCACATAGTGCTGAACCATAAAGATTTAAATATTGCAAGTATAGCAAGCTATTGCCAAAGCCTTTAGGGAGTGTTTGCATACCATAACAGTACTTCATGTTAAGGTACCTTAAGTGCTTCAAATTTACTACGTTCTTGGATAAGAAATTAAAACGTTGGCCATGGTTGTCTTCAATGTCAAGGTTGTTAAAGTTTACCACTCGTAAGCATCTAAAACTCGAGATTATTGTTTCAACTGATGATCCAAAGGTGGACTGCCTTTTGCTCGGAAAAAGAATGGTTCGCAGCTTCTTTGCTTCAATTAAAGGCCTTGGAAGTTCACCATATGAGCTCGAATCGAATGATACATGCCGAACCTTGTTAGGATTTACCTTGCTATTTGTCCTTTTCACAGTCAAGCATTCACTACCGGCCACATATTCTGCTAGATCATGAACAAGATCATGCATTTTATATGCTTCACCCCCCTCATATTGAAGAAAGGACCTCCTGACCAGCTCATCTATGTAATTTTAACCAGTATCTTCTAGTTCTTCATTATTGTCCAAAGACTCTATAAATCCTTGTGCCATCCAATAATATATCAACTCTTGTTTGCTGATTATTTGATCCTTCTCAAATAATGAACAATAGGCAAAACACTGTTTTAAATACGATGGCATTTGATCATAACTCAACCTTAGAACTGGTAAGATATCATTCTTATTTTGTGCATAAGCCCAAATTTCGCTATCCCTTACAGACAAGCAATCACGCTCTTTAGTTTTTGAATGCAATGCTGCTCCTAAGGTCCTTGCTGCAAGGGGAGCTCCCCCACATTTCTTCACTATATCTCTACCAATATTGATTAGGTTTTGATGCTTGCTCTTTTCTCCTTTTTCAAATGCCCATTTTACCAATATAGATAAACACTCATTGTCTGAAAGACCTTTAAGTTCATATGGGTCCATGGTGTGAACAATTGAAGCAACTTTTCTACTTCGTGTGGTTACAACAATTCTGCTTCCTCTTGCCCCGACTATCAACATATCACGAAGTTTTGCCCATTCTACAGGGTCCTCATTCCATACATCATCTAGGACGAGGAAAATTTTTTGATGACTTAACACTCCTCGAACTTGACTTTGCAACTAGTCAATTTCCACATTATCACACGTGTTGTCCCCTAACGCTTTCAGTATTTTAACTAGGATCCTTTTGATGTCAAAATCATCTGAAACACACACCCCTAGTCTTTTGCTAAAATGGCATTCAATTTTGTTATCATTGTATATCGACTGTGCAAGGATGGTCTTTCCTAGACCCCCCATTCCCACTATGGGAATGATATCAACATTTTCATCACCACTAGAGGACACTAATAATTGTACTATAACTTCCTTTTCACGTTCTCTCCCAATAACCTCCGCACTACGCACAAAGGAGGAGGTTTCCTCCCTTCTTTTTATCTCAACTGTCCTATCTTCACTTCAAACGACAAACTTAAACTTGCTCATGTCTAAAACAATCTTATCTAGCATCTCGCTAATGTCCTTTAGCTTATGAGCCACATCACAATGAAATTTAAAAGGATTTGAGGGTGTAAAGAAATAGCATACCTCTCTCATCATGCCCCTGTGAGTTTCCCTTTGTCTTTTCAAGGCCTCGGTTGCAACTTCACAATTCCTATTCAAATTCAAGATTCAAGCATAACCTATCAATACTTATTGTTTAATTGACTCGCATTACATGGTGTACTAAACTATTAAATTTTGTCATTTTTCCCTTGTTTTTCCTTTTTGCCCAAAAATGCAAGATTCAAATACAGTCTAAAGGTATTTTTGTTTAATTGACTCACATGGCATGGGGTACCAAAATTTGGTAAATATTTTTCGTATATAGATTCTTTCTTTTCTCGCCATAATCATTACTTTCCTTAACTATTGTCTTCTTTACTAACTCAATTTCGATGTTCTGTTTTTGTTTGTCATAGGTCCTCAATTTCTCCATCTTAACGTCGAAATAAACCTATACCTCTGACATCCCTTCCTTCGTAGCGGTTGCATTAGCAGGTCTGCTTTTTAATTTATTTGCTTTTAATTAATAGCAGGGCACTGGCGGGTGTGCTATTTTATTTATGTGCTTTTAATGAATAGCAGGGCACTGGCGGGTGTGCTATTTTATTTATTTGTTTCATTTTAATTGATATTAGGGTACTTGCTTCTGTGTTTTTGAATTTTTTTTGCTTTCAATTGGTAGCAGGGCAGTGGCTAGTGTGCTTATTTATTTGTTTTTTTTAATGAATAGCAGGGCACTGGCAAGTGTGCTATTTTATTTATTTGTTTCATTTTAATTGATAGTAGGGTACTTGCTTCTGTGTTTTTGAATTTATAGCAGGGCAGTGGCTAGTGTGCTTATTTACTTGTTTGTTTTTAATGAATAGCAGGGCACTGGCGGGTGTGCTATTTTATTTATTTGTTTCATTGTAATTAATAGTAGGGTAATTGCTTTTGTGTTTTTAAATTTATTTGTTTTGAATTAACACACAACACAATTGACCCCTAGCGACAAATAGCAAGAAACTTGTAGAACATAATGTTCTGTTTTGAGGAGAAAGGATAAGAGGATTTGTACATAGTCCAGAAAAGTCAGGAGTGACATGGTTCAGGATGTCCTCAGTGACTTGGAGAATGGGCTTGGCATAGATATCACGCCCATCAGGCGAATGGGTTCCCTGAATTTGCTTCATCATGGCACTGTCATCGGATAATGACATCCGACGGTCATTCTTGGCCAGTTGCTGCATTATGGGCGTCTTTTCCATTTTTTTGGGAATTAAGAAGGCAGGATGGGGATAAAATGGGTTTTTGTGTGGTTTTTCAGTGGCTCAGGGTAAGCTATATATAAGGACGAAAAGTTGGAATAAATTCTATAATTGAATCATGTTATACCTTGCTTGTCAGAGGGTTTAAATTTTGTTAAATCCATGCTTGTCAGGTGGATAGAGATGTAAGAAAAAGGTAGGCCCATGATAACATTGTCTTTACAGAATTTAAGAACAGGTTCCCCAAAAGATTAATGTTTAATGTTCCCTTAAGCCCTTTTTGAGGTCATTTGATTAACATTAACATGTTAGTTGATAAAGCTACCAGAAGGGTAGGTTTGTGCTTTTTGTTGTCACACCAATACCATACTCAGTCACTGCTCATGGATATGTTTGGTTTGTTTTCAAATTTTTTGGGGAAAGAAAAAGTAGAAAACTAGTTTGGCAAACTTTTTCTGAAGGGTGATTTTGTTGAATGCTCTTTCTTACTTACCTTTGATTGGTTCATTTCCTCTTTGATTTGCTTTTTGGGGTGTAAATTTTGTTAAAGCCATGTTTGGCTGGATAGAAATAAGAACATGGTGGACCCATAATAACCATGTCTTTATAGAATTTAATGATGGTTTTCCTTAAGGATTAATGTTAACATTAACATGTTCTCTTAGTTAATAAAGCTATCAGGACAGTTTGTGCTTTTTCTTTTTATTTTTGGTAAATTAATTTTCATTCAACAAAAACAACACAACAATAGCCAGAAACAAAAGGGAGGGCTAATATTAGTAGGGACAACATGATTGGATTAGGAAAGACAAAAAAATATCAAACAAATTTCATTTACGATATTTTATTGGTCGGATGGTATCACCGTTGTAATTAATTTTTGTTCCAAGTAGGGTTGTATTGAATCTATCATGTACAATAAACTTCTAAATACTCGTAGTCATCCATAAATTATGTCTATCAATTAAGACCAGACACAACACTAGAAAAAGTTAAAGACATTTGAACTAAAATGCATGTGGGTTTCACTCTTAGCTGTGATAAATATTGCGTTTTTCATATGGCTCTCCAGCTATGCCAATATCTTTGGTGATATTGAGTGCAAAACCACCAAAGGGTTTGTGTACTTGGTAGCTCTTTTTGGTGAAACCATACGTGGATCGTATATGCATCCCAAAATCATTTCTTGTTCATGAAATATCCTCCCTCATCAACCACATTGGATCCCATCAATGTTATATTCAGAAAGGGAAAAAAAAAGGTTAAAATATACGGATTAAATTTATTGAGTATGATTCAAATTATATAAAGTTTAAATCTGTATAACAAGTGAGAAAATAAAAAAAAATATAGTTCCGTGTTATATCCCATGCAGCTTATTTAACCATTTTTAAGGTATTTGATGGTCCATTTTTTCAGCACTAAGATTTAGACAACGCAATTGAAAGGTAGGGCCACATTTGACCCACCCTTATGGAGTGAACTTTTGATATCTGCAATCATTGGTAAACCACAGGTATGGGTTAAGCCCGAGAGAC